ATAAAAACATATTTAATAAATGAGAGTAAAAAAGAAGGATTTGTCAGTCTTCTATTTTGATCCAACTGCCTTTATACAATCTTTGTTAAGAATGTCAACCTCTGCTCATCTTTTCAAAAAAAAAAGCTTAAATCCCTTACTAACAGCTGCAGAAATGACAACAAAGACAGCTCTAGTTAATATTGTGTTCACTTATTTGCTTTTATGTAGTAGCTACCATTCAACAGGTCTGGCTATATAGGATCTCAGAAGTGTTTTTGCTGTTACATGAAAACTCAATTAACTTTTAACATAAGAACTTGACCTACGGCTAAACTTACTTCCTAATCCCATGTTGATTTGTTTTTAAATAAAGAAAGTACAAACCAAAAAACATTATCTTTCAATTACTCTGCATTCACCTTTACTCTTCTGAGAGTACACTTTTCAATATAGCAACATTTTCAAATAATTTTCATTGAAAACTTCTTGATTTCAATAAGGACAGTAGATATCCACTTAATATCTTAATTACAAATGTTATTTATAGGTTTTATAGAACTGTCTTTTAAACTCATGCACTTCAAATGCCTGTTCAATAACAAACTAATTTTGCTGCTAAATGTTATTGATTAGCTTCATAATTAAGTATTATATATCATAACAACTTTTTAAATATTTCCTTATACATATCTGTTTTCTTATTAACTGTCATCACACTTCAGATCTACTTTCAGCAGTTGAATGGGCTGAATAGCAATTTAGAATTATGGATGCCTTCCATAATGGTTACTATCATGAGCAGATCACATCTTGGAGAATTTCAGAATTTTCTGAAAGTTCAATTCTACCCATTCAGAAACTAGAAATGCAATTTTCACTATCACCTAATAGTCATGTGACTTGACTTAATACTAATTTTTAAAGTATCAAAGGGAGTTCCAGCCTTCATTTCTTCTAGTGTCTTCATTACTTTTCTTGACATCTAATTGCACATGAGTCAATAATAAGTCTTCTCTATCTTAATTTTTTAAAATGGTAACAAAACTAAAATGTTGTGGTTCTGTATGACTATATCCTCCCAAATTGATGCATACGTTAAAAAAAGATTAAATATATATATATATATATATATATATATATATGACATAAAAGAAGACTTACAAGATTCTGAGCAACCCTCAGAGTTTCTGGAGCAATACATCTGGCCGTAATTTTATTGAGTGGAATTATAGTGTAACATCGCTTCAATTCTCCCTTTTCTAGTAGCTTTTTACCAGTAACCTAAAACAAGAATTTGAAATTTAAAAAAAAATTAATGAAAAAAAAAACTCATTAAAATAGAGAATACAAGTTTAGGAATCCATAGTGAAGTAACAGTTTATTATATTTGATAATAATTATTAGTCAAGTTCTACAACAGGTTGCAGAACTATCTTTCACACTAATCAGAGAAGCTATAAGTCCTTTCACACAATTTCTGTTCCAGTTCTTCTCTGGATCCCTAACAGAAAAGTTGAGAAAAATTAACATATTAAATCTTCTATCTCAAATGAAAAGATTAAGAATATATAAAATGAATTATTACTCAGCCTTAAAAAAGGAAATGTTGCAATTTGCAAGAACATGAAGAACCTAGAAGAATTTAAGCTAAATGCTACAAGCCAGACATGGGAAAATACTGTGTAATTTCTAGATGTGCAAAATCTTAAAATAAAAATAAAACAAAAAAGAAATGTAACTAATTAGAGTAGAATAGAAGGCTACTAGGGATGGGGAGGGGAGGAAATGAAAAGAAGTAGCTTGTAGGCCAAAGGGTATATATTTGCAGTTATACAGGATAAGTAAGTGTAGAGATTTAGAAATATAATATACAGCATGAGGACTATAGTTAATATTATATTGATTGTAAAAAACTGGGCAAGAGAATTGATTTTAGGTGCTCCTACCACCATAGGAAAAACAAAAAGGCAATCATGCAAGGTGATAGATATATATGTTTGATTATAGTAGCACTATGCGTATGTATCAAAATGTTACACATGTTACAAATACATCAAAAAACATAAAATGTAAAAAACACAATGAATTATATTTGATAATAATTATTATAAAACACTGACATAAATAAGAACATTCTAAAGAGAAAAAAAGAGAAGTGAAAAATGCAGGTAAATCCAATGTAACCATGATATGGGGGTGGGTGGATGACATTAAAAAAGGTTATTCCTAGATCATTTAAAAAATTTAAATCAACACAAATTTGCACAGGGGAAAAAAAATTAAAAACTATGATTGGCAATGTGCATTCTGAGTTCCTGAGTAAACATGAAACTTTATCAAGAAGTCACTGACTTAGCCAGGTATGGGGCACATGCATGTAATCCTAGTTATTCAGGAGGCTGAAATAAGAGGATTGCAAATTTGAGGCCAGCCTGGGCAATTTAGGGAGACCTGTTTCAAAATAAAAACTAAAAAGGGGTGGGAATGTAGCTCAATGGTAGAACACTTGCCTACCATGTACAAGTCTCCAATACTTAAAAAAAAAAAAAGGTCATTAATTTCATCATATAGATATAACTGACCTGAGAAAATTTTAAAACATCAAAAAAAAAAATGTCCAACTATTGTAGCAGTATGTGATTCTTCAAGCAAAACACCTATTTCAAATTTTACTTTAATTAAAATTAATTTACCTCTGTATCCACTACAACATTGTAGAGTCGTTCTCCAGCTACCAGTTCTAAAGCTGTGGTTGCAGAACTATCTTTAACACTAATCAGAGAAGCTACAAGTCCTTTCACACAATTTCTGTTCCAGTTCTTCTCTGGATCCCTAACAGAAAAGTTGAGAAAAATTAATCTTAAGGCAACAAAATAGAAAAATTTAAACTTTCCTAGTTAAAAGCTCTTTTGGGCAGCATATTAAACTAAAATGAAAACAAATTACATTTTTACTAAAACAAAAAAATTTAAATGTCCCAGGTGATAGTCAGCCACTGTTTTTAAATCCAAAAATCTATTTCAACTAGTTTTCAATGTAACTAAGAATTCTGCTGTTCTAAACTCTGTAATATATGATTACTCATTATTTATAAGACATAAATGTATATATTTAACAGTAATGACAGAAAGACATTGAACTTATATTACATTCCCTTCATTTGAGTTTTAATTCAAGATTAGTGAAATGAGTAACCATTAAATTGCCCAAGAATTCCCCCCCTACAGATGTGTGAAACATTTTAATAAATGTTTAAAGATACAATACCAAAAAAGAAAATGCAATTTATAAGAATTTTCATACAAAAATCCTGGTATTAACAAAAGTTTTAGGTGGTCTTTCAGCTTAAATAAAAACATATCTTTGTTATTACTATACTAAAATGCAAGGTCTAAATCTCTTACTTGTATGCAAATCGAAGATTGGGAAATCTGGCCAAGAGAGCGTCATATGTTTCTTTCAATCTACTGATATCACGAGACAGTTGCCTGCGCTTTTCCAAAAGCCTTTCCTCCTTATTTTCTGAGTAAATCATAAGTACATTAATACAAAGTTTTAGAAACTCTTCAATGTTAAGGAAAATATAAGCAACCTCTATTTCCAAAGCTTTCTAAAAAGCGAAATATAAATTTTGGATAAATATTAAATAAAGAAGCATTCTTAACATTCAAATTTCTATCAAATGTCAAGTAGACATTATTTCCAACAATAAATAATGCAATTTTCATTTCAAGAAACAACACATGAATTGAATGCTTACTAATATAAAAATACACAAATGACATTTCTGAGTTTTAAGTGACTGAAGCAAAAAATTCTCCATACTGAGTTCTTGAAAATTCAAAGAGATCTTTAATACTTGATTTTTTGTGATTGTATTTATAAATACTTATACTAATACCTGTTAATACGGTAAAAAATGTTTTTTACTTGCTTATTTCCTTTAAATCAGTTTCTATTAATATTCACTACCTCCTAATGATTTGATTATCATGTCTTTAAAACAAACCTTCATAATTTAGCTTCTTCATTTCAGTTTCAAGTTTTTCTTTAAGTCTTTTTACAGCTTCTAAAGCTTCTTGGTCCTTCCTGTAGCCACTATCCATCTTCTTAACTTCTGCTTGTTTATTCTTTAATTCTTGTTGGGCATGTTTCAACTTCATTTGGGCCTGTCATAGAAAAATGTAACAGACTACATGAAGTACACAGTGAGCTAGCAATCAAATGGCCACGGAGTTCAACTAGTTCAATCAAGAGACATTAGCACTGAAAATGTAACTCTTTGGGGTCATGAAATAGTATTTCAAAAGATCAGTCACTTCCCAGTATTTTCTCCTCAATTACTTGGAGATAGTATCATTAATATAAGTTATTAAATAATTTCTAATTAAATTCCACATTTTTAATATTTATAAAATGACAAGAGTGTTAATAAAGTTGACAAATACTATTAGTAACTGGTTAAATTAAAAACATATCAGAAAGCTAGAAATCTTAACTCTAGTTTCCTTCCTTTCCACTTAGGTGTTCATATTTGTATTTGTGTATCTCTGTATTGTCTAGTAACAGCAAAGGAGCTGCATTGAGCAATGAAAAATAATATTTTATGAACTAGAAATGGTAAAGCAGCAGAGAGAACAGTTTTGTTTACCTTTTAAAGCTTAAGACTTAAACTTTGTCAATAAAACAAATAAATTACAGCCAAAAAAAAGGAGAAATGACTAACCTTCAATATTCCAAACAAGGCTATAAAATGAACAGTTATTTACTGCAATTACAAATTCAATTATGGCAATTCATGTCTTATAGTAGGTTGAAAATCTGAAATCATCAATATTTAACAATCAACAAATTTAAATTTTGTTGTAATAGGTATACAAAGTGATTGAATAGTGTAAATAAGTTTCCTGACATTGAACTGAGTATTTTCAACATTTTTTAACATAACTACAAAGTGCTTAATGTCTTTAGTTACCTGTTTGGCCTCTGTCTGAGCTTTACTTATATCATTTTTACAGGCCATCATTTGACCAGCAAGAGTTGCTTCTGCTCCATCTTCATTACTGGACAAGCCAGCAGACACAGCATTGAAGTGTTGCTGTGCAGCAGCCAAAGCTTCAGCATCTTTTTTACTTGCTTCTTGAAGGTCATGCAGCCCATCTGTTATCTTCTTAACTTCTTTTTCCTTTGCTGCTAAAGTTTTAGAGTCCTTCAGGGAAAATTTCAAATTGAAAAATATCGTTATTTTAAGAATATATATTTATACACAAATACTCTTACTTCATTAAATTTTGTAACAAATTTAATAACAAGGAAAATCATCATTATAACTTTAAGTACTGAATTCCCATTCTGAACTTTGCTGTTTGGGGGATGTATCTCTTCCACTCCCTGAAATATTTTCATCCCATATGTAATAGTAAAATCTAGGCAACAATGGGCTAAAAAATGATTGCACATTTAAATAATCTACTTGAAACTAAACATAGTTCTTAAAGTTTTAGAGTTGAAATAATAGCCATCCTACACTAAGGTTAAAAGCAGAGATTTTAGAAGTAAGAGTGTATACATTAACATACTTTATAAAGTATTAAGGGAACACACAATTTAATTATTAAATAGTTGTGGGGAAAGAACTACTAAAACCTCTCTTAAGTGATACTAAACAGACATCTGACATGATGTAAGACAGCAATAACACTGAAAAGTCTAGCTGTCTTGTTTACTAAAAATGACCAGGAATTTGGGGCTACTTGAATAGTTCATGGTTCAAAAAATATTTATTAGGTGTTTACTATATACTGAGTATTGTTCAAAGATATTTAAAACACAAACTAAGACCCTATCCTCAGGGAGCATATATTCTAAGGTGGAAGGCATGGCAAAAAATAAAGCAAAGTCAAGGGAAAGAAACTGAGGGCAACTATTAATTTAAGAAAAAGGGAATCTGCTGACATTTAAATAGAAACTAAATGAAGAAAAGTGATCATGTAAACAGCTGTGAACACTGTACCTGTAAGCCCTGAGAACATGTTTGGGCATTTGAAGAACTGCAGTTGCAGCAGAGAAAAAGAATGTTAAGAGGGAGCCAAAAGTCATAGCATGAAGAGTATATAATAGCATGAAACACATAATACAGGCTTTATATTTAATTATACACATGACTTTGACGGAGGTGCTAAAAAGTGCTTGTATTTTGCACATACTTTAGAGTCAACAGAATTTGCTGATGAACTCGTTAAGGAGCTTCAGAGAAAAAAGGAAATTCAGAGGGACCCTAGGATTTCTGGCCTAAGTGATTAGGTGATTATGGTGCTATTTATTGACATATGGAAAGTACAGTAATTCACATTTACATTGGTGTGGAAATTTTATATTTATATATTTATATATATAACATATCCATTGTGGATATGTTAAATTGTATACTTTTTGTTACTCATCTGAAAAAAAAAAGTTAAGTTGCTAGTTGAACAAATGAATCTGCAGTTTATAGAACAATTCTCCAGGTGACCATGGACTGATCCAGTTCAGTTCCCTTTCTCAGATGTAGCTCTCAAAAATAACCATAGAATGTGTTAGAACAACATCATCCTAAAATAGGGAGGAAAGGGCCTAAATAGCCTATGCTCTATTTTAGTCTCCAACCCTCCAGCCTAGAAATGAAATATCTTTAATGCTTTAACCCAGCAACTCATGTCACCTTGTGGTGATATGATATAAATTTCACCATGACATAAATCTCAAGGCAAGCTACTTTCCGGGGTCCCTTAGATCTAGGTTGAGTGGGGCACGCACATGAGATTCCCATCTGCCCTTGGCAGCTTTCCCACCATGAATCCCAGGATTCTACTGTCAATTACTACCCATCTGTAAATAATAAATTTGCTTTATGTAACTTGTATGAATATCTATTATGAATTATATAATATCTACTATAAATTATTATGAATATCTACTAAGTATATGACTATTTATTGAACACTGAGAAGTTGGTAATCAGGTACACAATAAACCTGTTTCATAAAAATTGGCACAATTCAGTAGGGTCCAGTCTATATTACTGCCAAAGTTAGAGTGGCCATACCACTCCCAACCCCTCAAAACCCAGCTCACAGCAGAGATGTAAGCCAGCTGGCAGAGTACAGGGAAATTTAAGAGCTGGACATACACCTGGATGTTTTATGGGAAAGGAGGCACAGTAAGCGGGACACAGGTCACTTCTTATAGATGGGAATAAGCTGGCTGCATGGATTAAAGTAGAGGGAAATACAGAAATGAGGCAGTTCAGTACATGATCCCCTGATTTGGGGGTATTTATGAATTGTTCATGCCAAGTGACAGAGACCCCAGGAAATGGTAATCGGATGAACCCTGAGGAAGGTGAGAGGGAGTAAATAAACAAACAAACAAACAAAAAAATGCAGGCCTTCACAGAAATAGATAGTATATTGGGGACAGATATGCAGAAAGGCTGGGAACCCCTATACATTCTGACTAAAGTGTTGATTTGATAAAGGTACACTATAGATCTAAACCACTAAACAGTACAGTTTACAGTGGAAGCAAGATCTCTCTCCAGAGGCTTACTGGAGGACAACGGCCTTATACTCCCGTCAAGAAGATAAGGGAATTCCAACTTTTCAGGGTTTCTTGTATACTGGAAACTTATGACAGTATTTCCAGATCTCCTTAGGGGAAAAATTAAATTGATTATATCAGGAGATTTGGGGATGAATCTAGTGAGCCAAGGTGCTTATTGGTTGTGGGTGGGGGCCCTTGGTTGTGGATCATTTTGGGTGCCAGTGACCAAATTCCCATTGCTGAATACATTATTCACCTTGACATTTTGGCTGTTTGTGGCCCAAAACATCACCTATGAGGACATGTTCCCTCATAGCCAAGAACTCAAGTCATAACAATGGGGCATAATCACTTCTGAAGCTAGCAAAGACCCAATAGCTATTTAGCAAAAGTGCCACCACACGCTAAGTAGAAAACAGGGCATAACTTTGTTAATTCAAAATCTGCTACAGACAAAAATACTACAAACTACTCTATTACAAAGCACCAGCTAGTGTCACTGGTCAAAAAGGGATTCAAGGTATGGAGACTAAGTCAGATAAGTATCCCAAATATAATTCAACAAGAATTTTTCACCCTGATGGCACATATAGGAAGAAAGCCTAATGGCTGATATGCCACTTAGGCATAGCACAACTATGATTAGGTGATTATGGTGCCATTTATTGTGATTAGGTGATTATGGTGCATCACATGAGTATTCTTTTGACCACTTCAGTGAAACTGCCAATATTGAGCAGGACGCTTGGAAGCAAACCTTGTAAGTAGTTCAACATGCCCAAGTGCTGCTTTTAAAACCTTTAGCTGGCCAGCCAGATGGAATTACAAGTTACCTTCAGTCTCCATGTATGCAGACTGGGGTCTATGGCAAGAGAAAATTACCACAGGGATTTGCTAGCCTACTGGATTTTGAGACATATAGTTTGCATGATGCAAATATATATCCCTTTTTGATGGTAACTTGCTTGCTAACATGCACTCGTGAAGATTAAACACCTTAAATAAATACCTTAAAGCTGAATCACCGCATCTGACTGTGAGACCTGAACTGCATGTTCTTACTTGGTTTCTTACAAACCCCATCAATAAATTTGGCAGGCTCAAGGTCAATTTTCAAATGAAAATGGTATATTCAAGATCAGGCCAAGCAATCTTCATGAACTAGCTTATGGTTAAGCTTACCAGAAGAGACCAAGTGACCTATAGGGGAATGTTTTGGCTCCTCCTCTGGCTATCTGGGGACTAAGTTTGAAGATAAACCTACTAAGAGAATGACATGGTTTACTGAAGGATCTGTGAAACAAAGCCCAAAGGATCTACAGGATGATGACCACCATTAGGCCAACAGATGGTCATCTTCTGATTAAGGCTGAAGTCTGGATATTCTGCCAATGAGCCAAACTATAAGCAGTAGTAACATCCAAACCATCCTGCTATATTTTCACCAACTCATGGGCTACTGCTATTAGCCTAGCCATATGGTCAGGAGAATGGCAACTGAACTATTAAAGGATCCCCTATACAGGGACAAGGACTACATCAACAGCTTGCTGCTTGAAGAGACATGTATCATATTCACATGGACAGTGAAGGCTACCATAGCCATTCATCTTTGAAAAGAACTTACATTATGTTTTTGAATACTCCTTCCAATGTCAAATCTGACCAAGGAACATACCTGAATACACAAGCAAGATGACAACAGGCACTCTCTCGCAGAATATTAATGGACTTTCCAGGTACTCTGTCATTCACAAGTAATGAAACAACCGACTAATCGAACAGATGACTTTTGCAACAACTGATAGACATCTGGATGTCCTGCTAGTTAGTATGACCTTCTGACTAAGACAGTATGAACACAAGCACTCCAGCACTAGAGAAACACAACACTGCAGTGCATGTTGAGAAATACTGAGCTTAATAGGAGTAGAGCAAGACCAGGCAACAACTGATTTGGATAAACCTATGAAATCCCAATCTGTTTTACCAACCATTCTCTTGCACCTATGAAATCTCAATATTAGTGTTGCTAACCAGTTCCCTCCCTTTTCACTTAGGAGTAAATGTCCCAGGCATCATGTGTGGTTTATGGGATTAGGCTGCCATATTACCTCAGAAAGGGGCTCCTAACTAAATTGGCAATGCTTCCTCAGGGGTGCCTCCTCTCCACAGGATCCCATAGGTATAAGGGATAGGACCAAGTACATCTGATCCTTTCAGCTGAATAGAGCAATGTGATCAGACACATCAAGTTTGTATAGTATGTGATCTCCCCTAATGGACTGGTGACCACCATTAGGCTAACAGATAACCATCTTCTGATTAAGACTGAAGTCTGGATAAAGCCACATGGGCAATGGTGCTCATAGAGGATAGGGGCACATAACTATACCAACTCAGCTTAACCCGATAGGCAGAAAACACTCAAGATCGTGGAGAGTAATGGGGGTGGAGAGGCAGTTAAAATGCTTTTTCCACAGGAGGCAGCTGCACAGAACTAAGCTATGGCCACTGCAGGTACCTAA